GCAGCCTTTCAAGCAAGGCTGTCACCCATGACAGGGTCCCCCAAACAGCACAGGAAACTTGAGCAAGTTCGAGTCTCTCCTTGACAACCAAGATGAATACAATTTGCCATTTTGCAGTCCAGCATTATTTAACAACGGGTTGAGAAGGAATCCACACTTCACTTCTTTCCTGACCTTGGGACCTGGAGGCACTTACTTCAACTCTCCCAACCCCAATTTCCTCATCTGTAAAATGGAGATAATAGTACTGAAGGTACAGAGGATTGTTAAGCATAAATGAAATCATAAAAGGAAATTGCTTTGTACGATGCCTGAAACATTGTCAGCACACAATAAATACCAATGGCTATTATTATCATTTTCAGCATTGTTACAAGCTACTCCATCTCATAACATACAACAATAGCCCCCAAACCACCCTTTATTGAGACCCACCGCTCTAAGCTCCAGCCTCTGGGCTGGAAATTTACGTGCATTCCTCATTTTTATCCCCACTACATCTTTGTGGGGCAGAAGGCAGACTCAGGGGGGGTTAAGTGATTTGCCCAATGCAGCACTTATTGCTTTTTCTGCATCCATTTAGTTGCTAGAGACTGGAGGAGTCACTTCCAGAAGCCAGTAATGAATGATGACAGATAATGATTCCATCTAGGTGACATTTTTTTTTCATTCTGAAGCAGCTTTTTTAGGGTTCTCAAAGCCAGCTTCACCTCTGTCAGCTGGGACCAGAGAGACCCTAAAAAGAGCCACATGTTCACAGCTCGTGACTTCACCTTGTAGAGGTCGCGCTTGCTCCCACAAGTGTCCATGCAAGTACACAGGTAGAGGACACCTAGCCAGACCCCAGCTAAACAGCACAGTGTACCCCAAAGCATCCCAGGATAAATTCTGAAGTCCCTGATTTCTGACAGTTCCTGATTTGACTCTCTTGACTTTATAGTTGCGTGCTTCTATAGCCATTCTGCTTTTCATTCTTACTATATTATTCACTAGGTGACACGGAGTACTCAACAGTATTATAAAATAAACGTTGTGCTCGATGGTTTTGCCCACCTGTAGGCTAATGCCAAATTTCCAAGCATGTGTACAATAGGTGAGTCTAATCTGGGATGTCCAGTAGGCTTGATGTATTCAAAGCATTTTTACGTGTGGTAACTTCAACTTTTGATGGGTTTATGGGGGCTATAACCCCATCACAAGTCAAGGAGTAACTGTCTTAAGCAAGGTTGAAGAGATAAGTTAATTGCTCTCTATTTCTCAGGAAGCAGGGTCATTTGTGAGTCTTCCATGTTGAACAGCAGAGTCTGATATCTGGTATTGTCCATAACCTACTGAGTCCATGAATGTGAAGGGTTATGATACTTGGGGAGCCATGATTCCCCCATCAGCAGAGGCTCCTGTCACTCACCACCCTTCCCCTATTTGTCAACCTGGGATCACGGAGGTAGGGTAAGCCCCAAAGAGATAAAGTCTTCCTTGAGGTTCACAGGAGGTAGCTGGGCTCCCTGAGGCTTGGCCATTATATGGCCAGAGGTGCCTGGTGCTGCCTCCTGACATCACCATTGGGGCTAACAAGTTGACATCACCACTCCTGCTAGTGCAGATCAGAGTCAGAGCTGATGGTAACAAGTGGACAGACAGACACAGCCTGGTAAGGAAACAGCCCCAGGAGCTCTTGGGCTAGGACAGCAGAAAGGAGGCTGGCACTGTGGCCCCAAAGTTAAGGGAGTTTTCTTAACTTTGCAGTGGCAGAGGACTGGGAATTAGGACAATCTAGGAGCAGCCAACATCTAGCAGGTGTGTTCTTTCCAAAGCCAGCTTTCTTAAGTGAGTCAAAGATTTTCCTAGGAAAAGTTCAGGGAGTGGGCCTTGGAATCACAGAGTATCTCAGCTATGGCACGGAGTCTTACTACACAGTTGTGGAAACCGGGACCCAGATAGAGAAGCTTGCTGCACGGCTGAGATGGAACACAGGTGGATATGGATTCGAAAGCTCACACACAAAACCACACTCTCTGAGGCTCGGTTTCCTGAACTTTAAAATAGGAATAATGACACCTGCCTCCGACTGCTGTGAGTCTGAACTGTGACGATGCAGCTGACAAGCCAGGCAGAGACCAGGGTCATACAGGCCGTCGGCAGCACGAGATTCCAACACAGAGAAGAAACAGGCTGTCTCATTCCTGATGTTCTTTTGGAGCGATGGAAGTGGAATTGGCCCATGGGTACCAGCTAATACTTGCGTTACATGCTCATTCTCCCACAGAGAGCCCATTGCTATCTTGTTCTTTTCTGGGGGATCAGAGCTCTTTCTGGGAGATCTCTTTGCGCACAGAGATGATTGTGCTTACAGGGCTCCTCCATGCTGGAATCTGGCTTCTAATGAAGGGCTTTGCTCCTGCCCCCCGGCCACCAGACAAGCCCTTCTCTCAGCTGGAGAGAAGGCAGGGGCAGAAAAGTTGTCGAGGATGCAACCCCTGCCCCTCAGCAAAAAAACTTTGATAGGGAAGGGGACCAAAATGTACAGTCTGATGTTTGTTTGTTTGTTTAAAGAAGACAGGAGATGTCTTTGGCCAAAACTACTAAAGTGCAGAGCGGGGATCAACTTCTCCTGAGGAGACCAGGGCAACATTCACTCCTAGGACAGTGGTGCCTGAAAACAGATGGCTACTGGAGGCAGCCACCCAGCACCATGCCAAGGTAAATTCCACACACACTTAGGCCACGGGGAAGAGTCAAGAGATGGGGTGAACTGCAAGGCACTGAGCCCCAGTAGCTCAAAATTAATCATGGCACCAGAGCTGGTAAATATTAGCAGGGAAAGTGAGCTAATAAATAATGTAGTACAGCTACCATTTATTAAACACTTGTATCTTAACAAATGTGTCTTGTGTCAGGCTGTACTGAACCTGCCATGCCTAGCTCACCTGATCCTCCCAACTATGTATCTGGTTGTGTGAGGGTTAATCTTGATTGTCAACTTGACTGGCAGGAAAGACACCTAGGAAATGATCAGTAGAGCACACTTCTGGGTTTGTCTGGGTGGGTTACGGTCACAGCCTTCCTCTCTGGCTTCTTTCCCTACTGTCTGCTTCCTGGAGGCCATGGGTGGAGCAGCTTTCTTCAGCCAGATCCCGATTCCACCAAGATGTTTCTGCCTTGGAGCCAGATGACCATGGACAAAAACTTCTGAAAATGAGCCAAAATAAAACTCTCCTCTTTGAAGCTGTTTAGGCCAGCTATTTGGTCCAAATGATGAGAAAGCTGACTGATATAATGAGGACTCTATGATTATCCTCATTTTACAGATGAGGAAATTGGGGCTCAGAGAGGTTTTTGACTCATATGAGGTCAGAGACACATAGCTGGAAAAAGTAGCAGAATGAGGTTTGAACCCAGACATCTTCCTTCAGGGCCCACGCTCCTGCCCTCAGCACTGATCTCACGGCTGCCACCACACACACCTGTGATCTGTCATCATTCCTGCTCTGTTTGTCCTCACCACCCAGCCATGCTCTGATCCTACACAGGCCCACCTCATGGGGCATCTCTGCTATTTCTGTGATTTCCCTTGACAAATTAATAAATTGGCCTTCTGCTGTTGACATGTGTGTCATGTATGCTATTTTAGATCGCTTGAGTCAGGGCCTGTGTACTCCGGGCAGGAAGACAGGCCAGGCTCTGGATCTTCTCCTCAATGACGTCTATGTGGGTTCTTCTGGCCCAGACCCTCAGCTGACTCCTGCAGCGCACGCCCCATGCACATCTATGAACTGAACCACGTTCAGCTTTCAGGCCCAGCCTACCCATCTAGCTGCAGGGTGCTACATGTGCCTTTTCCCAGGGAGGGAATTCACAGGTTTCGTCCCATTCACAATGGTCTGTGGCCTCCCTGAGAAATACTTCAGAACACTCAGGTAAAGCAACCGATAACTCTCACATTTAGATAAAGGCATTCTTGGTGGCTCCTGGAGAAATGTTTGCTATCAAATCTTGCCTAAAGGCTAAGCTTGCCGGCTCTCCATTAGAAAGAACCAGACTCAAATCTTGGCTCCACTACTCAAAAGCCCTGTGACTCTGGGTGAGTTCTCTGCTGTCCCCAAGCCTCGGTCTCCTCATCTGTACAACGGGACTAGTTTATCTGCCCAGGGGACAGGTGCAAGGACTAAGAGCAGTTGTGCACACGGGCGATTAGCAGGTATTCTTGCTCTGTGAGCATTTCTTCCCATTTATCAGAGCAGCAACACAACACAGGCAGCCTGTGGCTGTATTAAGGGGAAGGGGTACAGTGGCCTCCTCGCTTTGCCTGAGCAACCAATCAGTAAAGTCACTGTCTTGGCGGGTGGACTGAGGGACTCATTCAGGGAGCTCCCCTCTGACTGCATCTGTACGAGTTAAGTAAAACGGGCCTCTGGGCAGAGAAGATTAACAGCCTTGAAATGAAACATCAGCCCTTGATCACCAGAAACTTCCATTTCCGCTCTGTAATAACTACTCTGTCTCTGGCAGAAATTCGTGAGAGCAGAATATAAACCACCCCGGGCCACGCTCAGCCCGGTTTGAACCCGAATACATCTTTGAGATGTAAAGGTTAGATGTGTTGACCCAAGTGAAGAGAAAACACAAAATTTTAAAACAGACGCTTCATCCGCAGTGGCCTAGGAAAAAAAAAAAAATCCCATAACTGAGCAAGTGCAAGTCAGTGGGGAGGAGGGAGAGGGAAGGGCGATGTTTCCTTTAGTTCCTCAGGCGAGCTTGTTTGCTTCCGTCATTCCCGCACACCTGAGGGCCAAAGAGCAGGACCTGGGGGCTAAGGATAACAGCCCTCAACCTCCTGAGTGTCAATTATACCCGCTTTCAAACCATGTCCGAATTGGGGAACATTTCTCCGACAGTAAGATAAAGACGGGACTTTGCACCCGGCACAGGCAGCGGTGGTGCTGGGGAGGGGACTTGGCAGCCACTGCCCCTCCCAGGGTGGCCCAGGGGCAGCGACTTACTTGCGGAGAAGTTGGCCTCGCTGTGGACGGGCGGGGTGGAGGGCAGAAAAGGCGCGTGTCCCACGAAGAAGGAGCGCAGGGAGCGCTCGGACAGGAGCGGCGAGCGCTGCTGGGAAGGGATGTTCTCGCAGCTGCCCACGCTGCTGTGGATCTTGAGGTTCAAGGGTTTGCTCTTCTTCTTGGCTCTGAAAGGGGGACAGAAATGGGAGAAAAGGAGATATATCCAGACGTGCACAGAATGAGACCCAGCATTAGTGTCCCATTTCAGGGGGAATGAGAGGCCCCAGGAGCTTGTAGGTAAAGAGAAGGTAGTGGAGGGGCTTTGCCTCCCGCCCTTGGCCCCTCTGCAAAGCCCGTCCTACCACGGGTTAAAGCAAAAACAAGACGTTATTTCCTACCCAGCTCCCTGCAGAAGCTCTAGGAAAGCAAGATCAAGTTCAGCTACTGAAATAATTCGGCCCCTGAAGTAAAAATATCAGAGTTTCTAGGATTCCATTTGAATTTATTTTTTTCCTGACCATTTTCCTTGCAAACAGATAATTAGAAGATGCAGTTCTTTGATTTCCAATAGGATTCTTCATACTGAGACGCAGATGAGCAGGAAATACTACAAACAGATTCCAGCCAGGTGCTGATTAACTCTGATCTGAAACTAAGCTAGGGCGCCTCCAGAATCTTAAGCAGAAAGCATGGACATCTTAAAGCCTTCTCATTTTACCAAACATGAGGTTTAATCATGATATTAATAACAATTCCAACAACAGCTTCTATCATTGCTACTTTGATTGCAAGCACAGACCAAGTCCCAAGGACTGAATTAAAGGCTATTCATGTGTGATCTCATTCCAATGTTACAGTGACTGCTAGGGTTTGGGTACGCTATGTCCACCGGAACCTCAAGTGTTGAAGGGTCGGTCCCCCATACAGCAGTGTGCAGGGGTAGGGCATTCGAGAAATGACTGGCTCACCAGGGCTCTAATTTCATCAGTGGATATAATCTATTGATGAATACAGTTATAGTTCGGCGGTATTACTGGAAGGTGATGGAAACCTAGGGGGTGGGGTCTAGCTGAAGGGAGTGGGTAGTGGGGGCATGGCCTCAGGGACTATGCTTGATCCCCAGCCCCTTCCCCTCTGGCTTCCTCAGCGCTTTCTCTGCTTCCCAGCAGCCCTGACAGGAGCAGCATGCCATCACCATGCCCTTCTGCCATGATGTTCCATGCCTCACCTCAGGCCTAAAGCAGTGGAGCCAAGTGACCACGGACTGAGCCCTCTAAAGCCAAGAGCCAAAATAAACCTTTCTTCCTTTAAGTTCTTTTTTGTTTGTTTGTTTTTAGGTGTTGAGTAGCAGCAGCAAAAAGCTGACTAACACAGGAGGAAGATGCTATTGTCACTCCCTTCTCCACTGATGAAGACAGTGACGCCACAAGAAGGGAAGGGACATGGTGAAGGTGTCTCCGGGGTCCATCTCTCAGCTACATCTGCAGCAGACCCTCCACATCAATCCCACCCCGGCTGCCATCCACCCTGAGGCCAGCTGTCCCAGGGAGCCTGGGACTAAGACACACTCAAGCTGGACCAATAACTGTGCCTGGAACCTTGACTCTAGCTTCATCCACCTCTTGCTTTAGGGCCTTTCACTCCCAAAAGCTCACACAGATATTTCCATTTCCCTTCTCTTTCTATCTCTCAGCCCTCTCAGCATGGAGTGACTAAAAGGAAGACGTCATAGAGAAAGGAAGCAAAGCAGGTAGCTAAACGGCCTCTTGCGGAATGTTTCCACGGCCTGCGGAATGTTTCCACGGCCTGCAGAACTCCTACACTCACCCCCTGGTCCGGTTTGGAAATTAGCACCCCTGTGACTTCCTGTCCTGGCTCACTGAGTTAACTCGTTTCTTCACCTCACTCTCTTAGTACCTGGCCCTCATCCACGCTTCCTAACATGGCAACCCATATCCACTACCCCACTGCCCTAATACCTGGCTCTTCCACCTCTGGGACTCTCTCCCCTTCTTTGCCTGATTAATCCCTACTTGTCTTGGACCACACAGCTGTGGCATCCTCTCCAAAGTGGACTGCGGCTCTTTGAAAACAATGTCTCTGTTGTTCATTTTTCTATCCTGGCTGCTGGCTCAGAGGTGGGCCTGTAGTAGCTGCTCATGAAACGCTTCTTAAATGGCCACTGTGGGGGAAGGCATTGGCATGGATCACACCGTGCTCTAACTTTCTGTCTTCCCTCCTCCTCCACAGGCTCTCGGGGGGCTGGCAGCAGGTGGATTCCTCCGGCCCCTGCTTGGCACAACTTAAATGAAATGCATTTCTTAAGCCTATGTGGAAATACGCCTCCTCCTCCAAGCAGCTGGTTTAAGAGTGCTCACAGCCCAGGGTGGTGGTGCATGCCTGTAATCCCAGTACTATTTAAGGCTGAGGTAGGAAGATCACAAGCTCAAGCCAGGCCTGAGCAATTTAGCAACTTTGTAAGATTCTACCAAAATATTAAAAAACAAAACAAAACACTTTTTGTTTGTTTTTAAGGGCTGGAGATGTTGCTCAGTGTGAAGGTCCTGGGCTCAGTCCCCAATACCAAAACCAAAGCCAAAACCAACCAAACAAGTAGAAGTACACAAAACCACACCCCAAACATCAGCTACCCACCCCATCAGGAATGCTCATCCAAGAGAACTGGGAGCTGCGCCCTCTGGTGGTCACAGAGGGCCACCTTGCAAACCATCTGTCCTGGACTGAGAGCCCAGGGAAGCTGTTCAATTAAAACCCAAAGGCTTCCCACACACACGAAGCCTAAAAGTCAAGCTCTCCAGGAGGCTGCAGCTTCTCAGCTGGCAGGAGCCCCATGGGCCTGCTGAGTTGGCCCCTCACAGTGCCTGGTCTGCCAGCCCGGCCTATCATCTCCCTGGGGGTGCGCAGCAGGGAACAGACAGGTGATTCTGTCACAGCAGCAGCTGCCTCTTCCCTGCCCAGGGCTGGAGAGGAGAGGCAAACAGCAGGGCGCCTCTCCCTGCACTTCAGTGGCCAGTGGGGAAGAGTTGGTGTGGTGTAGTGGCTCAACTCACAGGCTTGGGGGCCAGGGAGAGAAGGGTTCCAGTCCTGATTGTGACCTTAGGAAAGTGATCGCCTTCTCTGAGCCTCAGTTTCCTCACCTGGACATTGGGGAGAACACTGACACCACTCCTGAAAATCTAGGAAATAACACACTTGGTGCGGAGCAAGCTTAGCATGCTGCTGCCCATTGTTAGCGTCCCTGTGACCACGTTAAATCAGTGTCCATTAGCTCTTGGAAATGGCCTTGAGGAAGCAGAACAGACACAAAATTGCTCTTCACCTGACACACCTGGCTACTCCCTCAACCCACCACTCCCACGGCCAGTGAGGAGAACACAGCCAGACCTTCTGTTCAAGAGCCCATTAGCATCACCCAAGCACTAGTGGGAGCCCTGAGGCACTAAGCCATCAAGGGGTGATTTCTCAGGGACCCACCCACAGCAAGAGCCAAGTCTAAGTTTAGCAAAACCCCAGTGGCTTCAGGGAGGCAATGTGTTTACCCGGTCATGGCCATGGATGGAAAAGGGAAGGAGTATCTGGAAAGAAACGTTAGATGGAAGGAAGGAGAGGAGAGAAGAAAAGGAGAGGGGAGGGGAAAGAAATGAGAGGAGGGAGGGAAAAAAGGAAGAAGGATGGATGGATGGACAGATGGGTGGATGGATGGATGGGTGGATGGATGCATGGGTGGATGGATGGATGGGTGGATGGGTGAGTGGAGAGATGGATGGGTGGATGGAATAAAAGAGGAGAGAATTGTAGGATGGAAAGATGGGTAAAGAAGAGAAGGCAGGAGGAAAGGAAGAGGGAGGATGAGTGATAACCTGACCACAGCAGAGTGGAAGGAAATCTTGCATCCCGTCCTCCTGACCGAGGAAGTGTTCCCAGGTATGATGCGGAATTCACCTTCACCATCTACCCTCCACCAGAACACCCAGAAGGGGAAAATCAGACCCAAGTGACCGTGTCCAACGATCTGGTACATTAACATTTAGTGGATATTTTTCAATATATTATATAGATGCGATTAACATACACATCTTCCATGATCTTTGCAGAGTTCCAGATATCTATCACATTGTTGCCATATCTGGAAATGGGGCCAATTCTGGCAAAAGCAATGAAATATGGAGGCACAGATGCTGGAAGGGGCCACTCCATCCCAGCCCTCAGTGGGCCACAGTGCTTTCTGGATGGGGTAGGAATTCAGGGTTTTCTGGCCAGGCGGGAAGCACTGGCAGCAGCCATCCACGTTAGGCAAAGACACCGAGCGCTGGAGTCAGAATCGGTGCTTAGGGAAGGCACTTGCTTTACTGAGTACAGCGGGGCTGTTCCAGCGCGGGAATCCAGAAACCTCCCCCACTTTCCCGGTGCCTAATTTTCATTAAATCTCCCAACTCTTGCATCTTTCAGTGGGTTCTTCGCTCTCCAGCCCCAGCCCCCTGGTTGGGACTAAGCCACCTTCCTCCTTTCCTTTTTCGCGTGAGCCACTGCACCCACGACTGGGGTCTCATTTCCACTTTCTTCTCCTTTCTTTCCTTTTTTTTTTTTTTAAATTTCGCTTTTCTCTTTTTGTTACATCTACGTAGAACAATTAACTGCTTCAAAGCAAAGAATTCCACAGCAGGAAATACGTCCACATGTTGTGCCACCATCATTTTCATCTGGTTGCAAACAGGTGCAACTCTCCAAAAGAAACCTGTTCCCCATGAGTCACTCTCTCCCATCCCACCTCTTCAGGCCCTGCCAACAACCAGCCTGCTCTGTGCTTGTGAACTTGCTCACTGGGAATCTCATGTATGTGGAATCGTGTCTTAAGTGAACTTTTGCGTCCGCCTTCTTTCTCCGGGCATAACGTTCTGAGGCTCACCCATGTTCTAGCGTGCATTAGCCTTTCATTCTTTTCTGATGGCTCAATAACCCGATCCCACTTTTAATTCTGTACAGTGTATCTCCACCCAGCGATAAGAGGGAGGTTTAAGAAGTAACCATCGTATAACTGCGCTCCCCTGCCCAAGATTTCCCATTCTTCTCCCTCTATAAAAGCTTTACAGGGTCCTCTCTAACTACACCCATATTGTGGTGCCGTCCCCGTCACTCTCTGATTCTAGCTGCTTGGGCATCTTCC